ATGCAAAACAAAAGGGAAAAAAAACCAAACGACAATAAAATAATATATCTATGACATTTTAAACTATTAATGCTATACTAATGTTATTATTTGTTTATTTAGTAGTATTTTATTATTATTAATAATATTAATTAATTTATGATTATTCTCTTCTTTCCATGTTCCAAATTCATTTACATTGGGTGGGGTGGGTTTATGGAAGTTTTCTGTATTCGTAATGTTTCTCAGTTCGATTACTTTTCTGAATTTGAACATATTTTTGTCTCTTCTTTGAAATAATTTCATGGAAAGCAATATGCCTACATATTTATCTCTACTAAATTATTTTGAATGTAGGGAACGACAGGGTCATCGATCCTTGTATTGTGGTCCTCTTTTATCAGAAGATAATAATTATACTAAACACAATACCGACAATTAGGACATTATTTGTTATAACATTATAAATTGAACCTAGTAGAAACCTAGCAAGTAAAGCATAGGCCAGTTCACTAGTTGAATTTTAATGACGTTTGTTATTCTATCAGGTAGTTTTTTATCATTTAATAAAAATAGGATATTTAAAAATCGTTACCTGATTGTGTTACTTATATGTAAGCTTGTGTCTTTTTAATGAAACATTTTTTAAGTAATTTACATCGAAAAATGGACTGGGATTTATCGGCGATAATGTTGTCTCTTTGAGAAAGAATATTAATAATTATCAAATAAATATTATAGTAGACGGTAATTACAACATTCCAATATAAATACTGACAATGTTACTGCGGTATTTATAGACTAAATTTCTTGTTTTAATTGTGGCTTCACAGCCAATTTTTTTAACAACGCAAACTGAAATTAAAACTCAATATAAATAAAACAAACATCCTTACATTAGTTAAGAAAACGTGTTATATAGTAAATTATTATTATATAATGTAAATATATATAGGCCTATATACTTTTTTTTAAAGTTATGTTATCTGTGATCATTGAAATATAGGCCTAGTAACATTTTGGAAATATGAAAGGCAACAGTTCATCGTTTCCGCAATCGGTTTTTAGGCTTCATAAATTTATATTTTTGGCACAAATAGGCCTATTAGTGAAAATTGTGTTTTTAAATAAATTATAATTTGAGCATCCAATCCACTCATGTAAGCCTACCTAGCATTTAAGTGAGAATGTTCCGCTGTCTTGGAGAGCTGGAGGTTATATTTTTATATTATAGGCCTACACTTTAAAAAGTGTATATAAAAAAAGACGTCAGTTATCCGTAATAATAGTCCGTTCACATCGTAAGTAAAATAGAACACAAAAAGCTCTCTTTTTTTTCTTTTTTTTTTTAGAAAATCCGGACGATCAAATGCCTTTATGTCTAAATATTGGTAAGCCTATAGATAGGCCGAATATGTCTGGGTGTGTTGGATAATATAAATACTAATCTAATTGCCATAGCATAATTCGTAGCAGTATGCCCATGTTCCTCGTGATATTAATCAAATAAATTAATTAATTAGCTTGCCACTCAGAGTTACTGATCGCCGATGCCACCGTCTATGTAAACTATAGTTACCGCTGTCCTAAACATGTTTGCTATTCTAATACGACTGATTGGCACTCCCCAACATGCTCTCCAATTAACTTTTAAGTCTATCAAATCGTTGTGGGGTTAAATTTTTCTCATGCGTCTGAAATTCTATTTTTGATTATCCCCCGCGTGGGCCTAATCAATTGCCCATGACTTACAGAATGAATAATTTCCATGTATAAAAAAAAATATTCTCTCTTAATCAGTATCCAATAAAAATATAAAGATAATTAGTTATTATTTATAATTATGTGGACTGGAGTTAACTACTGTAATTTTGTGATTGTTTGCCGGTCCATCACCTTATAGTTAAGAAAAATAAGCCAAAATGATTTATTCATAAAACAGGAGCTTTCTACAGATACACTGGTAGATTTACTCAAGAGCTTAGTATGCATTGCAGAAGGGATTTACACCTTTAAAAGATAAGGAAGCATTATATACTAAGTTATAGGTACGTAAAACTTTACTAGGTTAAGAATATAATATTAACGTATGCCTACTACAGTGTATATAGGCCTGTACAAAGAAAAAGAGTCGTGATTCAAACCACAGACCTTCGATTACCCATTGGATCGTCTGCCAACTGAACTATGAGGCCAGGACTTTGCTTTTTCCATTAGGTGCTCAAACAGTGAATAAAATCACATTAGTACAGGTAACGTTAGTATGTTATCTCTGGTAATAATTAAATGTGATAATGTATAGGCCTATCCCCTTTGGGATATGAACGTGGAAGGCCGTTCCGAAAGAAACAATTTACAAACAATAAAAAATCTGAATATTTTGAAGACATCAGCTACAGATCTATGATAGTCAAGTAAATCTATGAGGACATTCAATTGAGGTAATGTGAG